ACTGCCCCACAGGGCTTCCTAGGCTGTCATCTTTATGGAAGCTGACTGCTTCATATTTCTCCTGCGGAACAGCTGGTGGGTTCGAGCCACCAGTGTTTCAGTCAGCAGTCAAGCACTTAACTACTGTGCCACCAAAGCTCCTATATTACTCACTAAAATCCTAAATAAATCAAATTTGGCTAACAACAGGTCCTGGAAGGTATAGGCGTGGACAGCACGAAGGCCTCAGTGGGTAAGGGTGAGCCAACACGAGGCCCAGAGATTGGTGAGAAAGGTCCATGGACTCAAGGAAGAGAGTGGACTCAGGAGGCAGTGACAGGAGGCGGTGACAGGAGGTGGAGGGGCAGCCAGCATGAGCAGGGGAGGCGTTTGTAAACAAGCCAGCAGCCAAAGAGTAGGGCCGGTCACGCCAAGCAGTGGGGAAAGCCTCTCCAAAGGAAAGACGGGCAAGCAAAGGCTGTTGAGGGTAGGGTACATCTGAAGAGGGTGCGGAGTCCTGGGTGCTGGAGACTAGGAGCTCGAGGAGAACATCACAACGCAAGACCCAGGAGGAAAGGAAGAGGAGACACTGAGGGCTCATGGAGGCCATGGCCACCAGACTGGAGTAAGGGACAGACAGACAGCAGCAAGGAGGCCAGGCAGGAGACGGCACTGTAGGGCGAGCCAACGAGAAAGGGAGCTTGGCAAGGAGTGCAGTAGGAGGGCATGGGGTCGGCATCAGTAAGAGAGGCTTTCTCTGGCACAAAGGCGCCCTGGTGGCACAGGAGTTAAGTGGTCAGCTGCTAACGGAAAGCTCAGCGGTTCTAACACACCAGCCGCTCCATGGGAAATAGAGGAGCCAGTCGACTGCCTTGGAAACTCCACAGAGCAGTCCCACTCTGTGCTGCAGAGTCCCCGTGAGCGGAAATCAGCCCGGTGGCACACAGCACCCCCAACTCCACAGCACTCACTCTCCCGGCTGTGTTTTCCTGCCCGGCCCGACCCCCTTTTAACATACTACCAGGTTGACTTGTCTCCCCCATAGTTAAGAGATCAGCAAATCCCAAGAGCCTAGTCTGGCTGGTCCTCAGATTCTGTAAACACAAATTTAATTTACTGAATAATAATGAGCCCTGCTCATTTACTTGCATGTTGCCAGTGGTTACCATAGTCAAGTAGTTTCAATCAGGGCTTCAAATCTTTTCCAATCGGTTCAGTAAGTGCCATGGTAAACGGGGGCCGCGAACACATTGCCTAACAACCAGATCTGCTGGCGAGAGGGAAACAAACAGCCGGGTGACGGCGGCCCCACACGGCCGGATGTGTGTCACTCCCCACACTGCCGTCAATGATGCTGCTCTCCAAAAGCCCCGCCACAGCCCCTCCTCCTCACAGCTCCAGGAGCCTGACGTGGGGACTGGATGACCGGCAACACCCTGGAGAGTGACACGCATTCAAAGCGGTGCCCTCGGTCCGCTGCCATCTTTGAGGGAGGCCCAGGTGTCTGTGTCCGACTCGGGTCAAAGCGCTACAGGCAACAGATCTGAGTGCAGTGCGAGAAGAATGCAGCCTCGCTGACAAGGGCAACCGCTGAACCGTTCTGAGCCCACTCCGAGGCCTGGTTTCAACGGAGACCGTATGGCCGGCAACGCTTAGAACAATTACTATTCACAAGCTAACCAAAAGAAGCCGTTCCCGGTGCACTGGTGAAAGGCAAAACTATGCTTCGGATGACAATTTCTGACACGGAGTCTGTACTTATTCAAACAAATCGCAAGAACGGCTAACTACGGACCGACGTGTGTTGACAGCTGGCGTGCTGGCCAGGGTCCTAGTGGTTGACCACACCAAGGATTGAGCAGTGACGACGACGGGAGCCGTCTCTGTACAGTTAGTTACCTGATAGACTCGGTATCAATGTGCACGGGCGCTATCCGCTCCAGGAGAAACTTGATCATTTCCAGGAAGGGGTTCGTAGGCTGCTTGGGGTTGCCCAACTTCTTCGTTATTTCACGCTGTAATGCAGATGTGTTAAATGTTACAGAACACGTTGAAACAGATCAGCACCTCAAAATGTTACACATCTGTGATTACAAAACCATGCCGTACTGGTGCTGGGAGAAACAGACCAAGAGGCAGTGATCAACTCCAGCAAACAACAAGAGGGTCAACTGAGGCACCTGAGAAAAGTGGCATTTCAAGTCAACAGGGAAAAGGGTATTCAAGAGCTGTGCCGAACAGCTGGACAGACATCTGGAACAGAAACAAAGTTAACCCCCACTATCTCACGCTGAACACCACAAACACTCCAAAAGAATAAAAACAGACGGGTAAGAACAAAACCGAGGGTGAGTGGGGACACAGACCACAGTGAGCAAAACGGTCAGGAGAGCGCGTCAAAGCGCAGGTTCCCAACCTCCCTTGGAGATGCTGAGCTGGTCACCCCGGGGCAAGGCCGAGAAATGGCTTTTTGCAAAAAGCATCTCAGAAGATCCGTGGGCAGCACAATGTGCAACACAACTAAAAATCATTAAAAAAACAAACAAAAAAAAGACCAGGTTTGCTGGTCCAATAGAGCCTGGTGGAAGCCCTGAGACTATGGCCCCTAGCTGCCCTGCAAGTCTGGAATTGAACCCATACCTGTGGCTTCCAGCCAAACAAAAGATAGGCATATGAGCTGAACGTTTATTTACATTAGGTACATATACTCCTTGGAGAGATCAATCATGGGAGAATAGAAGGGTTGTGTATGCACAGGGAGACGGCTCAGGGGGCAGGAGTGCATGGAGGGAAGGACACAGGGAAGAGGTGACTATGGGGAGGAAGTGGGAGGGGAGCTGTTGCATTGTGGGAAATTGCAGTCAATGTCATGAGACAAAGTGTATGTGAGCTGCTGTGTGGAAAGTGAATATGCTCTATAAACTCTCACCCAAATCACAATTAAAAAAAAAACAACTTCAGACCTATCTAACAAGGGTCTGAATAGATAGTTCTCCAAAGAAGGTATACAAACAGCCAATAAACACATGAAAGGGGGGGTGGAGAAGACCACCATGGGCAAGAGATTAAGAAATATCAGTGTGAGTAAATATGGCTGCTGATCGGCAACAGGACTGGATTTTTCAAGCATGATAGCAACGGCCAAAGCCATGAGGATACTGACAGGTTCAGCTGGATACAGACAGGACTAGAGGCTGTCAAAAAACACCCTCAACAAAATGAAAAGGGCCAACGAGAGCCACCAGGCGTGATCTGTACCTTTACTGACAAGGCCACGGGACAGGTCAAGTCTGTCTGCACAGAATCACACAAAAGAAATACAAATAAATGGCCAATGATCAAAGAAGGATGAACAAGTTCAGACGACCCCCAGCTGAGACACGCGACCCCAGACACATCCCCCGCCTCTGCTGTAGGGCTTCACCCGTTCCAGGCTCGATGCGACGCGGTGTGAGTGGTCGCTGCGCGGTGCTGACCCAGGGCGCCCCACGTGTGCAGAGCAGACTGCTCCCTGGCACGGACCAGCACCCCTCGGGAGCACATCTCCGGGCCTGCCCTCTAGGTGGGCGGAAACTGCCACCCTTCCGGACAGCAGCAGAGCACTTCATGGACCGCGCCCCCAGAGACTCCACCCGCAGTGATGATGGCCAGCAGTGGGACGTGTGACAAGAAAGCCACTCTCGCTATGGGCGACCTGTGTAACCTGTTCCCTGAGCAGAGCCACCTGGGGAAATGTCTGAGGAACCTCAAAACCTGGCCTTTTAACCCATGCAACTGTCTTTCTGTGAACCTCTCCTCAGAACAAAGTAACAATCAACACTATACACCAATATCTATCTAGCCATGTACGAGTTATAGTACTGGTTTTTCTTATTTTATTTTTTATTGTGATTTGGGTGAAATGATTACAGAGCAAATTCACTTTCCATACAGCAGCTCACATACACTTTGTCACATGACATTGACTACAATTTCCCACAATGCATCAGCACCCCTCCCACTTCCTCCCCACAGTTACCGCTTCCCTGTGTCCCTCCCTACCATGCAGGTTACAGTGTTCTTTACAGTAACCAGAAAAAAATATTAACACCGAACAGTGGACTGCTCGGTAAGTTACAGGATGTACATACATATATTCAACAATATGCTATGCGGCTACTGAAACATGCTACTACAAAAGACTAATTAATGAAAATTAACCAAAACATACTAACTTTATATACAACATGATGTCATTTTGGTTAAGTATATCTCATTATACTAACAGCAGTTGTTGCGACAGTGGGACCACTGCTGATTTACATGGTTACTTCTGAGGTTTTTTCTAAATACTTCAAAATGAACACCAATGATTTTATAAAAGAGGGGGAACCAAGAACAGATTTAAACAACCATCAGCTCTCTCTGCTGCTCTCCTTACCACGCAGCCTTCGGCCTGTTTGCAGGAGCACGCGGGGCTGACGAGTCCCTCCAACTGCTTCCTGATTTTCTCATCATCCTCTAAGACCTGCGTGAATTTCTTCATGAAGTCCTGAGCCTTACCAGGATCTGGCAAATTCCCTTAAAATAAATTAAAATACAACTTTAAAATTTTCTCAACATAAGATCAAAAAGATAAACAGGATCCACTCCTTTTCGTACCTCAAATACGAACCCTAACCGACAAACTCAGTTCAGTGAATGAGAAAGTACACTGTCAAGCACCTTTAGCAGTCTGAAGTAGAAGAAATATTCCAAGAAATATAAAACAGGGACAGACCAAACAGGCTACTTCTAGGTCACTTATCACAGCGTGGAAGGGCATTAGACTATGTCAACCTGAACAACACCAACTCCGTGACCGTCCCCTTAAGCTCACTGCCTCCGGGGCAGGAGATGCGTCAGCACCCTTCCGCGTTATGAACCATTAGACTGCACCAGGTTCTGTTAAGCCACTCTGAAGCTGACTCACAGACACACACGTCACCTCACAGGGACACGCTGCTACGTACACGTCGGTCACTGACCTCCAGTGAACAACGTCTTGCAGGGTCACTGCTGGGTGCGCCATCACTGAGCAAGAGTCACTCCCTGCAGAAGCAAGTGGGAGCCTTATGCTGCCCTCCTAACGTGGTCACGGATCAGACCAGCCCTGAAGGCTAACACAATTTTGATCCTAGTACCTTTCTTCTGGGAGCTCTGGTAGCACAGTGCCTAAGGCACTTGACTGCTAACCAGAAGGCTGGCAGTTCAAACCCACCAGCCACTCCTCGGAAGGAAGGTTGGGCAATCTACTTCCGTAGTGATACTGCCTTGGAAACCCCAGGAGGGGTCGCTATGAGTCGGGTCCGACTCGACGGCACATAACAACAACAACAACACCTTTCTTCTGGCTGTTGGTGCTACAGGGAACCAGACCAGGATGTTTCTAATAACAGAACGAACAGAGAACTTGGGACTGTCATAAAAGTAGTACAAGTTCAACTGAATCTTAAAATCTAATCACAAAAACACACTTAGAGGTTAGGTATCACTCGCCAAGTCCTGGCTACACCAAGCAGTCACTGAACGCAGTAGAAATAAATGAACCCTCCTGAGAACGTGACTGTAGGACATTCCCAAGGTGTCAACTGTAAAGAGCACAGCAGACAACCATGCCACGGATGGTAGCCACGGCAATCCTCACACGGTGAGCGCCCGAAGGCCGGGGGGACATGCCAGCGAGCCCTGGGCAGACCACTCTGCCATCCCTGGCCACTCGTGGAGCCTAAGAGGGCTCTGGAAAAGCGGGCACTGAAAGGAGCCATGTTGCTGTTGTCGCCTGGTACCACTGAGTGGCAGCGACTCACAGCAACCCCGTGGACAACAGAACAAAACCCTGCCTGGTCCTGTGCCAGCCTCACAATTCTGGCCACACCTGAGCCCAACACTGCAGCCACTGCGTCAATCCATCTCCTTGAGGGCCTTCCCCTTTCGCATTGACCCTCCATTTTCCCAAACGTGGTATCTTTATCCACGCAATGGTCCCTTCTCATTACGTGACCAAAGTAGGGCAGACGAAGTCTGGTCGTTTGCTCTTCAAAGGAGCATTCCAGCTGAATTTCTTCCAGGACAGATTTGCTAGTTTTTCTGGCAGTCCATGGAATTGTCAGTATTCTTCACCAACACCACAAACTCAAAGAATCAACTCTCCTTTGGTTTTCCTTATTCATTGTCCAGCTCTCACAGGCATAAGAGGTGACTGAAAAGACCAAGGCTTGCGTTAGGTGCACCTTAGTCTTCAAGGAGGCGTCTTTGCTCTTCAGCCCTTTTCCGGTGTGCCCAGTGCAGTGCGTCACCTGAAGTCCTGACTGCTGCTTCCACTGGTGTTGACCGTGGAACCAAGTAGGATGAAATCGGGGAACGACTTCAGTCTTCTCTCCATTTACCGTGACGCTGCCTGTTGGCCTAGTTGTGAGGATTTTCGTTTTCTCCATGCTAAGCTGTAACCCATACTGCAGACCACAGTCCTTCACCTTCCTCAGTAAGTGCTCCAAGTCATCCTTACTTTCAGCAGGCAGTCACGCTGTCTGCATATCGCAGGTTGTTAATGACTCTTCCCCCAATCCTGATGCCATGTTCTCATTCCTAGAGTCCAGCTTCTCAGATGATGTGCTCACCATACAGAATGAAGAAGCATGGTGAGTTTGCTGGTCTGATAGAGCCCAGTGGAACCACTGAGACTATGGCCCCTAGCTGCCCTGCAGGTCTGGAACTGAACTCACTCCTGTGTTTTCCAGCCAAACAAAAGATAGGCATATGAGTTAAACATTTACCTCAGGTAGATACACTCCTTGGAGAGATCAATCATGGGAGAAAGAAGGGCTGCTTATGCACAGGGAGACAGCTTGGGGGGCAGGAATGCATGGAGGGAAGGACACAGGGAAGAGGTAACTATGGGGAGGAAGTGGGAGGGCAGCTGTTGCATTGTGGGAAATTGCAGTCAATGTCATGAGACAAAGCGTATGTGAGCTGTTGTATAGAAAGTGAATCTGCTCTGTAAATCTTCACCCAAATCACAATTAAAAAAAAAAAAAAAAACTTTAAGGAAGGCATCCTTCCTCCAGCTCTTGCCCATACAAGACACTGCAAAAAGGATTCTACGATACAAAGGAAAATCAGAAACAAGTGGCCAGCTGGGGCTGGGCGGTGGTGCAAAGTCAACCAGCAACAGCTAACTCTTGCCCTTCACCATTAGAGCCCACAAGAGAACAACATGCAGAAAGATTTTAATTAAACCTTAAACTTAGAGAGAAAATACATAAAGCAACTTACTTGTAATAACCATCACTTTTGAAAATATGGCCTTGACGCTGGCATCCGTCTGCAAATCACACAAAAATACAATTAAAATCCGCCGATGAGAAGCGCCCACCACTTTGCTGTACTAGGTACACATTGTCTCTGGAGGCCGCAGAGGCCCCGCCTCACACCGTGTCTCCTCACCCTGCTCTACGACTGCAGGGGACTGGGCAGGCGGCCTCCACACCCACTCACACCTCACCCTCTTCCGTCAGCTGCCAAAAATAAGCAGGCTGCTGCACCCACCTTCTGGGCAAAGAGGTACTTTGTTTTTCTTTAGCCCAGAAAGGTCAGGGCAACTACGCTTAGAAACACAGCAAAAACATTCAGGAAATGCGAGTCTGCGGGTTTCTATGCTCTCTGCGGACAAACAGTCGACACCTACAGTCTTAGTGCCCTGAGGTGTCCCTGAAATGCTTAATCCTGAACATGGTTAAGATATAATCAGGAGGCTTACGGGGAGATCTCTGGAGAAAGAATGAAAAGACACCATTGAGTAACTGTAAACTATTAAGGCAGTCCATTCTGACTCACAGCGCCCCTAGAGGACAGAGTGGAACTGCCCACAGGGTTTTCAAGGCTGCCAGTCTTCACAGAAGCAAAGCCCAAACCACACCCACTGCCGTGGAGTCCATTCTGACCCACAGCGCCCCTAGAGGACAGAGTGGAA